AATTGAGAATGTTTCTTGTGAAATTTTACTAATAGAGACTAACTGTTCTAACCCTAATCCTAACTATAATGTGCGTTTAATTAGCTTTAATTTTATACCCCGATTTTGAATTTTGATTGGCCAAAAATTATCCAAGGAACAATTTTTGTGGGCGCACTACCCAATATTTGCGCAACAGATCTGCACATCTATAAATTTTATTATGTCAACTTCGACTAGTGAAAGTGAAGTGGAGGAAACCGATAGTGTAAATAGTGAAAATAATGAAAATGAGCAAATAGATGAAAAATTTAATAGTGAAGACGATGAGGATGAAGATGTTGAATCATCCAATGATGACGATGGTTCGAAAATGGAGGGTATAGAGAACATTGAGTCAGTACAAGAAGTGGATGAATCAGAAGATAGTGTTGATAGTGAGCAAGAGGAATCTAATGATGAAAAAATGGAGGAAGATAGCATAAAAATATTAAACAATAAGAAACAAGATCTTGCAAATCCACAACAGAAAGAATCGTCTTCTCAGGAAAAAAAAATGGTAATATATAAATTTTGATAGATTGTTTATTTTATAAAATGGCGCTAAATTTTAATTATTTTTAAAAAAAGATTAAAGATCCTGAACCAATACCATTATTGTCACGCCCGAATGCTGCAAATCAGTTTCGTGATTATTATATGTCACAAATTACCAAGGCTTTTGGTGAAGATTTAGATAGAATTCGAAAGGTAATTGATTTTTTACATTTATTTTATCTTTTAACTCCCATTAAGATATACTTATTATGTTTGATATATTAAAGGACCAAAATCTTGATTCCAATCGATTAGAAATATTAATTAACTCATTAGAATCTGGTATTAGTGTTTTTTCGGACGTTGAAAAAGAATTGGCTTTATTATCTCATAATAATAAATGATAGTTCTCCAAGTTCTTAACTTACAACATACGCTTTAATTTATTTACTTTGTTTCAGAATTCAAGATCACAAATGTGCCGGGGGTTTTTTTTTTTACTTCCAAATAACTATCTATATCTGAATTTCGTTTCTATATCAAGTTGAGGTTCTTTATATTTTGATTATGAATTAAGGCAGTTGCTGAAAAAAATTAAGATAATTAAAAAACTTATGTATTAATTATTTCAATATTGTATGTCATGACAACTTACTCTTATATTAGAAACGTTAATAACTAATAAAGATTCGTAAAAAATTAATAATAATCACAATCTCCTAAATCTCGCCTGAAGAAATTTCCTATCAACACATAAATCCTTCGCTCTATTAACAGTTTCTCTTGCGACATAACCACCGTCAAAAAATTCAAAGAAACCATTTTTTTCAAATATTTCCTTTAAATATTCAAGAGTAAAAAAATAAGACATTGTTCCATCTTGTCTAACGTATAAATTTTCTTGTAATTTATGCTGAGCTGTTATACTTGAAAATCTAATTTCAGTTTCATCATTTTTTGCATAGTCACGAAAACATATTATTGATCCTTTTTTTGTAACCTTTTTCAAGAATTAAAGAACATAATTTTAATAAAAAAAAAAAAGTGATGAAATAAGTACCCTACTTACCTCTGATATATTACGAATTACAGTGTAATGATTTTCTGGTGGTATAGCTGACAATATAAATATTAATGAAACAACGTCTATATTTCCTGATGGTATATTGTCTTTCAAATTATCAGTTGTTAAATCGCAAACAAAAGCATGACATCTTGAATTATCATACTGTTCATGATTCTATTTGGACAATATTCAAATTAATTAAGCAAAAAAAAAAAAGAATTAAATAAAATCGAAGGGAATTTATAAGAAATTTTGAAGTTTGAAGAAAACGAAGGCTTGTATATGAGTGCCACCAAAGGAAACTTGTCATTGGACTTTCAATTATATTTTGTACTGGACTCAACCCCAATAAAATTGGATAGACTATAACCGGTACAAAAAATTATTGAAAGTCAAATGGCAGGTTTTCACTTGACGGCACTCATATATAAGATTAATTTCTTGCCTTAACGAATTCGATAGCACGTTTTGAAAAATCACAGCCGTAAATAAAGAAATTAGGATTTGATTCTAAAACCGGAAACATAAAGTTTCCTACTCCACAACCTAATTCTAAGATGACCTTTTCCCCACAAAAGATTAGAAATTATTTTAGATCATCTTTGTTTAAATAGGTAAAATAAAAGAAATAAAGCTTAATTACTTTTCGTTCTTGCTTGAGATCACTCTCAAATGAAAGTTCTGGAAACTCACGTCCAATCCAATTACGATTTTTAAAAAATTTAGTGGTATTTCTTTTATAAAATAAATCCCTATTCGATATTGATAACAGCAAAAAAATCATCGATGAGGTCGTTATTAAATTAATGATGTTATCGACGAGGAAGTTATTGGTTACTAATATTATGAGATTATAGAGATTATATGGATACCAATTCTTTGAAGCTTCTTTTTTATATTTATCGACCCAAAATTTTGGAACTAATTTTTCATTCTTTTCTTCATTTTTTGAAGTTGTATAAACATTTGATGATATATTATTGTCTAATTCCATTTTATCAACATATAATTTATTTAAAAAGGTTACTAGTGATTAACAACGAAATTTTACGGCGTGCTTTTTATATTACTAAAAGTTACACCAACTAATTAATATGGAATGTGAATATTGTTGAGCAATATGAGCAATAACGATAACGATAAAAAGTTTTTGATTAATTTAAAATAAAAAATTAATTAAAATATATCTAACATAAATTATAGTCAATTATAAATTTAAGGACAAGTATATGCTCGTTCCTCAGGTGTACGTGGGATCCAACCTTCTCTGATTCCAAGCATAAAATCCCAATGAGGTGAATTTTCTGCTTTAAAATTCCAAAAAATCCAACCAATACTAATAGAATAAAATAATTAATAAGCGAGCTCGATTAAAAAAAAAAATGCGCAACATATAATAACTTTTACAAACATCTTACCCAGCTTCATAAGCATCCATTTGAGCTGACGCATATTGTTTCAGATAATTTTTATAATCATTCGTCCAATTCGAATAATTACCTTCACCTTGACACGTGCAGTTAGGACAAATAGGACCACGATTTTTGTCATAAGTTCCATCATATCTAGCACCACGGCCAAAGCCATTTAACCATTTTGTGCAATCGGTTATAGCAAGGCTCCTATTCAAATGATAGATAAGAAATGAATTTGAATTTCAAAATTTATATTTAGATACTATAACAAATAAATAAATTCCATTTAATGATTTACCATTCTCCAACCAATGTCCAAATGCCTTGATTAGAAGTAATGTCTGCTTTATTTGAACAGGAAAAATTCAATAGTCGCTGTTCTGGATTCAAAGCCAATAAAGAGTAGTCAAAAACTGCATAACTATGAGTATCTAACACAACTCGATCGAACTCTGAAGAATTTAGGAAGGTTTGCCATGCTTTTAAAGGTAAAAATACTGTATGAAATACAACTAAAATATCACTGTTCAAATGACGAATAACTTTGTATGAATCTTTATAAAATTTTTGTGTTAAATTAAGTTGGTTACCACCCCAACTATTATACAAAATGATAACAAACAAATTAACATTTTTTATTTTATTTTTTATATTTAAATTTGAGAGAGAGGAATGATAAGCTACTTGCCTGGCGGGCTCATTAAGAACGTTGATGGCGGTAACAGTATTTTTGAATTCTGGGCTATTAAACTTTTCGGTCATAATTTTAACGGCTTTAATGGTACGTGGGATATTATCCGCTGAACTGGTTTGCCATCCGACAGGACCTCGCCTACCGCTATTGTCGAATCCATTCTAAATATAAACATAAATTGGTAAATATGTCGTAATCATCGTAATAAAAGCTGATTTTCAATGATTTTGTTAACCTGGGAGCCCGGTGCACCATGTAAATCGAGAATAACTTTTAAATTATATTTCTTGGCCCACCTGACTGCTTTCTGCAAATATTTGAAAGCACCCTTGACAAACGGTTCCTCTGGCGTCTTATCAAAGGCCCAATAACCGACGGGTATTCTATCAATATGTTAAAGAGATCATGTGACAGGGAAATATATTGTGATATCGAAATCACATGCGAAAATATTTGAGAGACGTGACATACATACGTACGTACCTCAGATGATTTAATCCATAAGAAGCTAATGTTTCTATATCTTTTTCAGTGACCCATGTCGACCAATGCTTTTGAAGTTGTCGTTTGGCCTCGTCATGACCCAAAACCTGCGTGAACGTGTATTCATCTACAGCTTCTTGTGGGGCACCAACGAATTGTTCGAAAAGGCTTGGCGTAATCCCTAATAAATACATATTATATATTAGAGTAAAAAAACAAATCTATTCCTAAAACATATCATAATTATATTCATGAGCTATTATATTGTACTATATGAAATTTGTGACATTTAAGAGCATTCACTCTACAGCTTGAAAAAGTAATTCGTGACATAATGTAATTTATTGCTTACATGGTTCTAGCACAAACCTTACACAGGGAAAGATAAATCAGGTACTGGTTAAGGTCTGAAATATTGTTTAAAAAAAATAAATTCATAAATCATATAGTTACCATCCTCCAAGATTCACACCACGTACTTTTTCTTGTCCATAATTAAATACACGAGAAGAGAATGGGATAGTGGTGAATTGATATCGTGAAGCTGAATAGAAAGGTCGAGTCGAACAACAATGAATCAAAGTCAAAATGACCGTCAGGAAAATGTATTTCGATCGCGATAATATCATTATTTTATTAGAATAATAATTGCGAAATATGAAGATTTATTTTACGGTAAAGCCACAAGTCTCTAAAATAAATATATAAAATAACGGTGAATTTTATTATTTGGAGCAATAATTTACGCGGTCAAATTTGGGGTTTTTTTTTTTTTTTTTATTTGTGAGAGACAAAATAATTGGGATATCTAGAAGATATGAATAATAAAATTATTCAGTGAAATTCACGTCAAACGATGTAAGAGTTTTTGTTAGTCTGAAAACCATATACAATATTAGAAAAGGTCGTATTTATAATAAAGTCGAAAATTAGTTGGTACGCGAGCCAATTTGCCTTTATTGACCGGAACTTATTGATAGCTAAGGTGATGTAAAATCAATAATCTTTTTTGATAAGCATCAAAGATGAATTTTGACGCCGTCAAAATAAAGTGAAACATGATTAGGTTGAAAACCAGTATAAATGTAAAACCAGATAATCAAAGAGTATATTTTTCTTAAATGATTACAAGATTGTCTCTTCTGAACATGACTGTCATCAAAGCGCCAGAACGCCAGAGATCAAAGAATATTACCCGTTTTATTTTCCTTATTTAGAAGTACATTTAAGGCGAAATAATTAAATTAGAGGTTATTAGGCAAGTGATGAATCGACCATGAAAAATGAAGATGACGTTGATCATAACGCAGCAGTATAAAACGGGTTCGTATTATTTCGCCGACAATCACTTCACCGACATAACATTTTACCGACAAATACTCATTTTACCGACAGTTTGTTTTACCGAAGTTCATTTCACTGACAAGTTTTTTTTCAAAAAGCACCCTAACTTTAGC